GTAGATAGATAGGTATAAACGATAATAAATTATTACAAGTTACGTGACCATTCCGCAATCATGGAAACTATTTGATACAATAAACTCTTTTGTGAGTTCATCTTTAGTGAACGAAGGCGCTTAACGTGAGGGCCTGACAATCATTTCAAATGGCCTCTGTAGTACAAGATTAATAATTCATCGTTTAGATCTCGATTACTAATTGAATAAATACATCCAAAATAGTTGGTCTGTTTAATTAAGCCATTTTAAAGAGCTTGATACTTATTTAAGAGGGATGGGATATTCTTGATCCCCGAAATCCGTAAAGATAGAATCTGGCAAGCCTCTTTAGAATGAAAAATGTTCACTTTCTTCTATAATAAGAGTTGGATCACTAAAATGGATTTTTGGAGCATTGCATAAAACCTGGCATTAACATCAATTATAAGACTTCTTTCAGCTATCCATTAGTAGCGCTCAACCCCTCATATGCCCTGTCCTCTACACATCTTGACCACCGAAATAGACTATATAATCATCCCTTTATCATCATTCGGTTTGACATTGGCATCATACAAACTGTACTTACTTAGGTTATTGGTCTTTTTAATCTTAAATAGACCAACGTTTCAGTTGAGCTTTGATAATTTGGAAATTATGATCCATTACTTTTAATGGAAAGTAATTCAAGCCTATACCATAATTAGTCATGGAAAAATTCTGCCATCACAATCGGACGGCTTTTCAATGAGTGTCTTGGAGTAATCGAAGAAACGAGCCGAGGTATTTTACATAACTGACCACTTTGTTAGGTCATTTCTAATATATTACTTGCAAAATCACTTAGTATCACCCAGTGTGATTCACATAAAACATTAGAATTCATTAGCTAATGGTGAAATAAATGGTGAACTTTAATCTATTTCCATATTTTTTATTGTCAGTAGAATCAAACTGTCTCTTATTACTGAACTATAAACTGAACTACTGAACTATCTTTAATGTCGAAAAAGAATAGTCACCACTATGACTAGACAAACTTTACTTAACTAGAAAATGTTTGACTTTGTTTTCCCAACTCGGTCATATTGGTAGGAAGACTTAGAGGAACGCACTAATTCCGGAGTCCATTGTATGCATCATCATTACATAACCAATTGTTATAATTCCATCAGTTGTAAATTTCATTCTCATATTCCTTTAATTGCTCAATTAGTTTCAAATGTATTATTATTTCTATAACCAGATATATCTGATCTCGCCTACAAATTGAATGAAGATAAGACATCATTATCTATTCAGCATGATGAGACCCATTATGAACAATCTGTGGAAACAATGATAGAGAACAACCAGCCTCAGTACCAAGACTTCCGCGGGCTCCAGCATCCTGAGTGCTGCCAACAGGTGAGAATGATACAGAAGGAACTAAAAACCATAATAATGGCTACTTATATTATTACATTGTCAATCAAAAAACCTTATAATTGCTCCGACTTGCTTGCAAACTGGGACTTGAGGAGAAGTAGTTCACTGATATACGTGGCAACTTCATGCCATTTAATGAACTTGTATTCCAAGAAAATTAATTATATTCCGGATTGCAAACGTGCACAAAATCAGTTAATATTTCCTTTGGCTCTGTATATTTAATTTATTATATCATCAGCCAAGAGTGAGTCAACAGTCAACTATACTTACAAACCAAGCCATTAATATTTGCTTCACACAAATGAATTAGCTTACGTTATCTCTTTTTAAATATAGCATTTATATTTTTTTCCATATCAAATATCCACAGGTATGGAAGGAGCGGTTTTAGAGTAAGATATGTTCTGTACAATTTACCTTATGCAACAAAATTGGAAAGTGGATTTTGTTGTGAAACTGAACTAAAACCTTTAGTAAAGTACTCATATAATCCAATTTGAGAGATTAATCATAAATAAAAAACCAGAAACTTCATCACCTCGTAATTTCAACACTTTTCTGAATGACCTAATAATTTAGGGCTTCTCTTTTGACAGAAAATCGTAAAGTTTTATTACTATATCAGATTAATCCATGCCAAAGTTTACTATATTACAGTATACTTTGCATTTTACAAGTCAGTACAGAAGGCTGAGCTGCCCAGAATATTAATAAAACAGGCTTCTGTGAACAAAGAAGATGTTAGTCTTATTAATTTAGCCAAACTCTTTAAGGCTTTCCTATTTTA